ATTTATTGTTTGAATTTATAAGAGGAGGGGGAGATAAGATGCAAGGGAGTTGAGCGAAGAAGAAGAGCTTTGACATTGGTTCTTGCTGGTGTACATTGTCTTTTCCAATCCTTCTACTTCTTCTTCTTCTTCTTATCCTCTCCATCCTCTCAAGTTCATTCATTTCCTTTTGCAGTTGGTGAACATTGTGCTGATTGGTGAATTTGTACTTCGCAATTGGTCCGGGTCATAACAGTTGTTGTTTTCTTTACCTGCCATCTTGAATTGGTAAACCTATTTTGGAACCTTTCTTTCCCACAAAACCCCTCATGAACAAGGACAAAGCCCATGGAGGAAGATGTACCATTGTGCCTGAAAGAGATTGGAACACCCCTTTTTTTTCTGGTTCTCCTTCTCAATCTTGTAGGTTTTTTTTTTTTTTTTTTCATAAGTTTCATTCCTTCCTCATTTGCTGTGTGTGTGTATATATATATCGTGATATTCCCCCGGGAAGTTTCGTGACTTTCTCGTTTGCTGTTTGGCAAGCCACTAGCCAGATTTCCATTTGGCCGTGTGGGTGTAATGACCTGGAATTGCATCCCAGACCTCCTCCCCTTCAATTGTGCGGTGAGCTAGGCTGGTCCCCGGGCGGCCCGGCTGGGGGAAGGTCGCCCGGGGTACCCTCCTGGGCAGCCCGGGATGGGCAGGGTCCAGGGCAGTCCCAACGCATAATATTAAAAAAAATTAAAAATTAAAAAATTAAAAAATTAAAAATAATGACAAAAATCTGGAAAACAAAAGTGTTGTGTAACATTTCAGTACAAGCCACTTTCGGCTGAGGGGCCCCTCGAAATCCCTTATTAATTTTTATCTAGAAATAAATGAGGAAATAATACCAAAATATGAGGTAAGATAACCCTTTTAAACCCCTCTAGTCACTGTTTAGAGTAACTTAATACCGCCCAAACACCCCTGGGTGACCCACCACCGAAATGGAAAGTAAGGCCAGATTCTGACTGCTCTGGCCAAGCAGTCCTGGCCTGAGGTTTAGTTTTTTGGGGGGGGGAATCCTTCCCCTCTTTTTTGACCTGCCTGGTTCTGCTGGGCAATCCCCCCCTGCCCAGCTGGCCCGGGCGTGCCTGGCCGGGAAACTGTTACATCTTCGACGCCACACGGGTCCTACCGGACATGACTTAGGGGTTGAGGGACACATCAGGGCCTAAAGGCCCGACCTTGGGGGATAACAGGCCGAAAGGCCACGACTTGGACCCGACTACGGACCAGGCCCAAACGACATTTTGTTTTGGGCCTGGCGGCGCCGTTTGAGGCTGCCGCTCTCCGGTTGGACCTGAATCGTCGATCTGGACGGTTCAGCCCCAACCAGGGACTCGCAGCATTGAGGCCGGTCCTCTTCGAACCAGTACTTGGTACTGGTCCGGCCTCACTTCGAGGCCATCGACCTACCGGCATTCTACCAGTACGGTATGGTACAGCGCGAAACAGCGCTGGCGCTATGTTTAGCGCAGGAGCGAGGAGCAGTGCAGCGCAGCAGCAGCGAGCGGAGCAGCAGCANAAACGACATTTTGTTTTGGGCCTGGCGGCGCCGTTTGAGGCTGCCGCTCTCCGGTTGGACCTGAATCGTCGATCTGGACGGTTCAGCCCCAACCAAGGCCTCGCAGCATTGAGGCCGGTCCTCTTCGAACCAGTACTTAGTACTGGTCCGGCCTCACTTCGAGGCCATCGACCTACCGGCATTCTACCGGTACGGTATGGTACAGCGCAAAACTGCGCTGGTGCTATGTTTAGCGCAGGAGCGAGGAGCAGTGCAGCACAGCATTAGCGCAGCAACAGCGAGCGGAGAAGCAGCAGCGGCGACTGAGTGTATCGGCGGCCATAGCCGTCTGAGGTATCGGGAGTTGGAGGCTTCTCTCCTCCCTCCCATCACCAGTCCCCTCTCTCTCTCTCCCCTCCTCGGCTCCCTTCTTCTTCTTCTCCATCTTCTTCTTCTTCTTCTTCTTCTTCTTCTTCTTCTTCTTCTTCTTCTTCTTCTTCTTCAGATTGGAGACTTATACTAGTTGGACAGAGATCAGGGTTGGACTTCGGTGGTATGAGACTGTGGTACTTACCGGATTGGAGACTTGGAGATTGTTGGGGTTGATACTTGGCGGCATCACAGTTCGGACACCGGTTACATTTGGACTCTGTATCTCCGCCATTGGTGACTGATTGTCCTCGACATTTTGATCTTGTTGGATGACATTTTGGACTACCATACCGGTGACCTATCGGATTCTATCTCGGTGACCTATCGGTGCTGTCTACCTCCCCCCACCTCCTTCGTCTCTCCTCCCGCCTTCCATCTGTGTATGTGTGTACGGGATCTGGGCATCGTCTATGCTTGGCCCAGACCCCACCATCTCATGATTATATGTGTGTGGAGTGATACCTATGTGAGTCAGTCTATGTGAGTCAGTCCGTTTATCAGACTTCCGCTGCATATATGCTCATCCTACATTGGTTGATCTTTGGTTCTGCCCATACTCATTGAAGTATGTAACAGTTTTGGTATCGGAGCAGACCATATTACGGATCTGCTCACGAAGGTAAGTCTGATTAGGAATTAGATTGTTCTTCAATCTTCCGAATCAGCTCTGTATTACTATTGAGTTCAAAGTTGCAAAATTTTTCTTCTTTTTTCGGTATTCTGTTATTTCTGCATTTCCGTTTCAATTCGGTATTCGGACTTATCATTCGGATTTCCGTTTTACTCCGGTAGGCTGTTTATTAGGATCCGACAAATTGATACTAATCCAACATTCTGTTTGATTCGGATTTCTGGTTAGTAATTCGTAATTAGGGTTAAATCAGTTTTCTGTTGATTTCGGCATTCTGATTTCTTTCGGTATTCCGTTTTATTTCGGCATTCTGATTTTAATCCTGTATTTCGTTTCGAAATCGGCATTTCCGTATTATTGCAGTATGGGGAATTAGGGTTACGAATTTTTTTTTTGGCTTTCACTCAACTTGGGAAATTCGAACGTTTTGGGAACCGTAAATCCGGAAATTCCGCCGAAACGCGGAAAATTAGGGTTGGGCCCGAAATTTTCGCGAATTTTTTTTTTCCCTTTCCTTTGTTTTGAGAAATTCCGAAAACGGGTTTAGGCCGTTAAAAATTGGATTTTGACGGTGGAAATTCCCGAAAATTCACGTTTTTGAAAATTCGAGTGTTTTTCCCTGACTTTTTCCGAAATTTTTTTTTGGCAAACTAATCCGAATCTGACCCTCAAAGTTGCAACTTCCGGGTAGTTCACTCATTAACGGTGAACTCCCGGACTAAAGATGATCTCAACGGATACCTAATCTTGATACAATTCAAATTCGTTCATTATCGTTATTGCAAATTCTGTTTATTGATTATCTTTATTGCAAATATTGGTTATTTATTATCTTTATTACAAACATTGTTTTATGGATTATCATTAAGAATTATTATTTCGTTATTTATCATTAATTAAGCTTTATTGATTAAATAATTCGTTAATTTTATTTCTTATTACGAATTTTTGAATTGTTTAGGGAAATTTATTTTCTGTTTTGATTAGGTGTCTACGGTCCATCAGTGGGACAGGGGACTGTATGCATATTGTTTGATTGTTCTACCCCTGTTCCCACTCTCCCTACCCTCCCCGTACTCTGTGACCACCGGGACCCCTCAAGTACCACATCAGTTCACACTGATGTCGATGGAACAAGACTCCGGGGCACTGCCACGACGCAGTGCCAGRCTTGCAGTTCGTACCCGCCCCGTGGTACCTCCAAGACCCAAGCAGCGACTCAGCAAG